ATACAAATGCAGCAGCTTTATTCACTCAAATCTATCAGTGTCAGGATGCCTGTATTTTCAGAATAAAAGCTCCTTAACGTAATACTGTAGCACATTGGCTATTGTCAACAAAGTACTGTGGGGCAATGGCACTATTTTGGGGGCTCCGGTGACAGCCGAGACCAAGACTCCATCTTCCATTGGCCAAGCGCTGTTATGTCCGAGTTGAACGTTCCTCTAAATAAAAACATAAATAGGAAAACATTTTGTAGATGTTTCAGGTCCAGATGACATTTTCCCTAAACTCTATTAACAACTTAACTGCACATAAAAGCAGATAACTTAAAAAGCCGATACATTTCAGTGTGTTTGGCCTCTTTTGCTGTCCACACTCTGACTGCAGGGAACCAAAGCCTGCTCTAATGGGACTGGTCAAATTATAAACCAAAGGACTTCCTGCCACAAAATCTTCTCCTGGCCTTTAGACTGTGCATATTCACATGCAGAATCTGTTTCATAGAGATCACAACGATTTTGCAAATACTGTTTTGTGAAAACTAAGCTGCCTGAATTTTGCTCTTATATTCATAATATCTGTATCATAATAATACGTCCTCACTTCAGTGATCATCAATATCATGACTAATAAACAAGTAACCAAGATGAAATTAACTATATACTGTGCTTACTGGCAGTACGAATGACAGGAATGTTCTTTGAGACATGAGTTGCATGTTTTCCACACATCAGCTTGGGTTTCACTAACAGCTTGTTGTTGTTGTTGTTGTTGTTGTTGTTTATCTTGCTTTGTGTATCTCTGCTGCACCCCTCCCTCCATCTGCTACCAAACAACTACTCATGTCTTGCCTTGTGCGTTAACCGTGTTATCATGTCGCTCAGCTAGCATGTGTCTGAGGACCCGCAGTGCACGCCAACAGTCCCTGGACATCATGGCCGCTGCTGATATTTAGCTTCATGTCTCAATGTGCTATCAGGTATGACGACCTCTGCACTAAACATAACAGCCCTTCGTTTTGTCCTTTTTAAAATACAAACTAACTCCTGCAGTTACAACTGTCTGTGCGACTGCAGCACGACTCTTCAGTAATCTGTTTTTCTTCGACGTGTTCAGATTGCCCGTGAAGCCGAGGCCGCCATGTACCACAGACAGATGTTCGAGGAGCTGCGTCGCACCTCTCATCTGACCCGTGACCCCACGGAGTCTGTCGCCATCGGCGCTGTGGAGGCTTCATTCAAGTGCTGCGCCAGTGCCATCATTGTGCTCACCAAGTCTGGCAGGTGAGAAGTGCACCTCCTGTAAATCTCTATATAGCTGTGAGTCATGAGATCCTCCACGGCGCCCACTAAGAACGAAGAAACGGGTGCTTCTATCTCTCCACCTCCGCTCTCTCAGTTACACAAGCCCACAGCTCATATGAAAACTGTTTCTTTCCTGTACAACCTGTGCTCCACTGTGACCTTTTGAGTTGTGAACCTTGACATTATACAAGTTAATTTTAACTCCCTGTTCATTCCTTTCCATGTGGGAGCTCATCGTCACAACACATGGTGCAGAAGACATACCACTGTCAGCTGAGTGGCTTAAAGACAATGTCATAATCAAAGCAGTTAGAGTGAATCACATGACTGCTTGCATGTGGCTCTGATGATGTTTTATCCCTCGACTCTAGTTTCACTCAACTCTGTGGAGCTCTATAATATTTCTGCTCATTCTCCCCACTTCAATAAGCCATTTTCCTTCATGAACTCTGGAAAATGTCCAAACTGTTGGATTGTGACTTTTCCAGACTTTGCATTTCACATATAAAGAACGTAGCAGGAGATTTCCTGAGTCAGATGTGCTCATAACAACAGGGAAATGTCCGGAACATTCAGGCGAGGGGTGGTGTCTGGGTACAACATACAGGAAGCAGGACATGGAGTTCTGCTGCGGAAAACACATTTTTGTTTAGAGCACATAAATGGCCCTGTCGGTTGTTTTCACCAAGTTGACATTTTTGTCGGTGTCTTGTACATGGCACCTATTTTTCATTCTGAGATATTTATTACATTTTTTCCCCCATTTTTTGTTCAGTTTAAAGGTTTTCCATTCTGCATCGCTGTAATAACTTGTTCCTGATTCCTGCAGATCGGCTCACATGCTGTCAAGGTACAGGCCCCGTGCCCCCATCATCGCTGTGACCCGCTCTGGACAGACGGCCCGCCAGGCTCACCTGTACCGCGGCATCTACCCTGTGCTCTACACCAAGCCCGCCAACGATGTCTGGGCTGAGGACGTTGACCTGCGTGTGAACTTTGCCCTGGAAGTTGGTGAGTGTTTGCGTTTTGTTGATTTAACAGTAAAATTTCTATTTGTCAGAAGGAGAGGATTTTGTTAATCTTCATCTTTTTTCTCCATCCTAAGGCAAACACCGCAAATTCTTCAAGTCAGGTGATGTGGCCATTGTCGTGACTGGCTGGCGCCCAGGCTCTGGTTACACCAACACCATGAGAGTTGTGCTGGTGCCTTGAACTTCACCCAGGGACATTAGTTACCGCTCCCCCTCCCCGCTCCTGTAAATGGTCACCCACCCCCGTGTTGGAATTTTCTTGTCTGTTGGTCTCCGTGACCGGTAGAAAGTTAAAAACCAGGCCGCTCCTTCGAAGGACTTTCGATGGTGTCGTTCAAAGATTGTAGCTCCATGATTCCTGTCACACGTGTAGTTCATTCTCTCAATCCTGCTGCTGAGTCTAAACTCGATTTGTTGTTTCACAAGTTTGAATCCCAGAGGCTTTCAAGACATGATTTTATTCTTAGGTAAAAACTGCAACTTTTCAACCATCTCACTAGGAAAAATACATCAGTGCAAAATAAGACAATCATAATAATATTATTACGCAGCCTTCAAGCAAGTTTATCTGGAAAAATGGTTATTAAAGGACAGGGAACATCAGGTCGTCCACTATCTATCCTAGGTATGAATAATATTACAAATGTCTGTTTTGAAACTAAAATAAAGATTTTAATCAAACCTTACAGCAGTCCTGAGTTGAATATCTATCTTTCACACTAATCCAGCATGAACACAAATCATTTTCTTTTTTATTGACGACTCATAAATGACAAATTATAATCCTGGCTGTTTTGAATGTTGGTACTCATGAAGTTCTCAATTTATAATCCGACTTAAAGTCTGAAGGTTCACCAGGGTTTTATCAGATCCTCCTCGATGCCTGCACACTCTACTCTGGTAAAAGAAATCAACAGCTCAGACAAGCATCATTGACCATATGTGATTTTATTGCATTGAATTCAGTAGCTGAAAAAAAAAAAAGTCAAACATACATGGGTGATGGAATTGTCAGATTTGGTGTTTAAAAGGCAGCGACATGACAAATAAATATCTAAAAGATGAATGACTGACAGTTCCTCAATCCGAGCTGATTCCCCTCGGCAGGTGCTGTGTAGGTGCGGGGGTCAGGAGAGAATAGTAATGAGGGATCGCTCGAGCTGACTGGCAGTGACGGGCTAGTGACTGATAGCATCTCTTCTCCCTCAGGGGGGAGTCAGAGTCACAGCAAACCTCTGGGTCAGTCACCAGGCAGATAAAACCATCGGACAGGATCCTCCCGGTGACCGGCGGCTTGCTGCCTTTACAGTTCATCACCGGCCGAGGGTCCAGAGATAAAAGCATCATCGGAACACATGGACATATTAACAAGTCGGATTCAAGAGTCTGGTTTTAAAAAAAAACAAAAACAGTGATACATGTCTTATTGATTCAGCATAGCATCTCAAAGCAGCAACTGTTCAAGGACAGACGTCAGATTTTACAATCAAACCATGTACAATGATAGAGGTAAATATGCAGCAATATGACCCAGGAGGGTTTCGTATGAACCATTTGCCCAAGTAACTGCATTTAGCCCTTTGACTGGTGCAAGAAACATTCACATCCATCTTAGTGCGTTGCTGGTTTCAGGATGTTTGATTATCCACAATTGCTTGATTCCCTTATTTGTATCTGCTCTAACTAAAAAAACAGTATCTGGCCCATCGTCAAGTGCCTCGATTCACAGTACCTTTAGTAGAAACACAGATTATTGCATACTATGCTATCGGCACACCAACCTTGGCTCAGGTGTTCGCTCTGTACCAAAGTTATTGTCAGACTGAAATGAGTTGGCATGAGTTGTGTGACTCGCCATGTGCCGCTGCAGCTGTGGAGGGAGAAAATGGAAATGTGTGCGTCGTCTCTGTAACTAGTTATTATTTTTAAAAAACAAAACATAAAAACAATCATTGCCTTCATGTTCATAACATTCAAAATTACTTCCACTTCTCTGACAAAAAACATTACATTCATTACTTCAGTGTCTCTGAACGTGATCTGATTCCTGCGTGACCCATGGGGGTGTGCAATATTGCTGGATCGCTATCATGGAAGACATGCCGTCATCAAACGTTTAGAATGGCTGATCTCTGAAACAAGCAAAGTGCACTGTCCTTCTCACCTCACATTTCTTAAGGGGTGACCTTGCATCCACAGGATATGCTCAGTAATGGAAAAAAATATACACAATCATAAAAAAGAATAATAATTTCGGTTTCAATTATAACTGGATACAATTGTAATTAAATATCAACTAAATAGGTGTCACTAAAAGGTTACACAAAATTGCCTGGTTAATGGGGTTTTAAACAAATACTTGAGTAAGGTTATAATATAATACATAGAACAATTTATATTTTCATGAGGTGCTCTATATATATATATCCATAATTTATAATTCATTTATTTATATCCAAAGAAACAATATTCTGAAGGAAACAATTTCTCATTGTCCATCATTATTCATGATCCATTCACTCGGATTAAAAATGAAGCCATTGATCATCAGTCTGATTAGAATAACACACCCTCCCATGTCAGAATTCGACAAAGCAGTGGTTAAAACAATGCCAGGAGTGGGATGATCTCCCTTGTGTTCAGGCATTAAAAGGAGGGTGTGTCTGAACCTCACAAGTTGGAGGGAAGTTTGGACTGTTTGTGTTCGGTCTCTAATATCTTAGCTGGAGATCTAACGTGGGGAGAGTGAACGCCAGCGGACTGGTTCTGATGTTCGGGCCCTGAATGAGTCCGACTGACAGGAGTGGCTTGACCAGGGATGGAACTGTAGGGTTTGCTGACGGCCATGGGGGAGGAGAAGGGGCTCGACGCCCCCACTGCTCCCTCTGAAGGGGGCCTTTCCTGGTGTATAGAGCTGTGAGAGCCTGAGATAGTCTTTACTTCCTGGGTAAAGAGATTCACAGAGGACTCTGCCCTCTCTTTGAGGGTACAAGCCACCCTGGCAGGGCATGAGGTCTGAGGGGTTAGAGGGCAGTGAGAGCCCACGGTGCTGGTGAGCTCACTGTGGTAAACTGTTCTCCCCCTCACAGGGCTCTGTATTCTGGGACTTTGGACCGGAGGCGTGTAGCAGGGCGACACCTCTGCAGAACCGTACTGGGCCAGGGAGGCGAGCGCCGAGTGCTCTGGAAGAACCTGGGGAAGGAAAACAGACTGGAGGCCTGCCAGGCTCTGCTGGGCCAGAGAGGCAGTGGCTCCGGCTCCGACTGCAGACGCTGGCTGCGTAAATCCACTGGAGGACTGGGTGCTGGTGATGAAGGGGAAATTTGGGAGGTTCAGACCACTGGGTGTCCTCCCTGCTCTGTCATGACTGGACCTCATCGGCTGCAGTGTGGCGTGAGAGGATTGCTGCAGGTGGCTTAGAATCGGGTCGACTGAGCTGGAGATCAGAGGGCTTATGAAGGAGGCGGAGGGGGCTGGGAATCTCCCTCCTAGCCTCCCTGGTGCCCCCTGCTGGAGTAACCCTATGGGGTGGGGTGGGGTGGTCATAGCACCGTGGAAGGGCTGGGAATGGAGCTGGGCGGAGCAGGTGTAGGAGACAGTGGCCTGGCTGATAGGAAAGACAGAGGCAATGCCGGAGTGGGGAGGATGGGGAGGGGGCAGGGGCGTGTGCTGGTGCATGGGCAGAGGGGTGAGGGGCTGCAGGCTGCTGTTGAAGATGGGCTGGGACATCAGTGCGGGCGACACTGGCCCAGTGGACAGATGCTGTGTCCTGAGGGTGGAGCTGGTGGGAGAACCGGGCCCTGATCCACAGATGCTGGAGGTGTTCGCTCCAACATGGACTCTCCTTGGATGGCCGCTGGGGTCCTTCACAGAGCCAGAGCCTGGGACCAGAGGATGGTGGAAGAGGATGGGAGGAAGCTGGGAGTGGTGGGCCAAGGCCAGAGCCAGAGGGGTGGTGGTGGCAGCAGCCTGGAGCGGGGCCTGAACCAGCGGGGCCCAGATAACTGGGGTGGGTGACGGGGAAGGTAGAGGGTTGAGACTCTGTGTATCGCTGGTCTGAATCAGCTGCGTGCACTGGGCCATGTCACGGTCGTGTTGCACTATTCTTTGGATGATCTCATTCTCTTGGAGGTTTAGTGTACCAGAGCTTTGGTGATGCTGGACTTTATGCTGAAGAACAGAGTTCCTCTTGCCTGTACAGAGAAGAGAAATAAGGTTAATGTGAAACTAACTGCAGAAATCTCTGTCTGTCTGTGGAAAACATATCTCGAGAACTGTTTGTCTAATCAGCTTCACATTTTTTTTGGTATTGTTAAAGGACCAAGGAAAAGTAGCGTTGAATCAATTACTGCAGGTCCCTTCTACAGTTCCAGAAAGAAAAGCTGCAACCAGCAGTAAACATCTCATTCCAGCAGGTAGGTTTAGAACAGGAATAATACAAAACTGATTATGATGAGTTTGATGATTATGAAACGGACTATTGTGATATATAATGCTATTATTTATCCTACCATTGAAAAACGATAGAAAACTTGAAAAATTGAATTGGTATTAATGAAAGTAGACCTGATTTAAAAGTGTATTTTTTTTATTTGTACTTCATTAAACCTTTGAGGTTCTCAAAGTTTTTCTATTTTATGTTACTTTTGATCTCAACTCCAGGATGATTCATAGGGAATTATTCCACCACACTATACATGAAACAATTCATCATTCAAGATTAAAGCAGTGGTCCCAAATTTAAGGTGCTTTTGACTCCATTTCCCCCACTTAATTTACAACTATTTAAAATAAAATCACCCAATAATCCAATATTTTATATATTTCCAAAGAAAGTCTTAATAATAATCTCATGAACGCTCAAATGTATCTAGTGAGCCCTTGCACTGGCCCATCTAACTAATAACAATCAAATATTGAAATTGTTCATTTCCGACAGAATGAGTACATTTTATGTACATTTAGCTGATGATATGTCTGTACCCTACTCATAGAACTTGTAAAAGTAGTTTTTATATTGTTTACACAAAGAATTAAAACTTCTCCCGCCACTGCAAAGAAGAAAGCAAGAATAATAGTAAATAATGTTCAACTGCAAAACATGAGATTGGCTTTGAATGTATTGGACTGTTTTTATCTCCTGGCAAAGGACGCACCGATTCGGTCCAGGCGGTCGAGAGCCACAGTCTCGAAGGCTCTTCTCATCATGGGATACTCCTCCAGCACCTCGTTGAAGTTGTCCACAGACAGCGAGTACAGACGACAGTAGTTATCTGCTCGCACACTGGCTGTCCTCCTGCCTCGGGTCAACAGGCAGATCTCTGCCGGGAGGAAAGAGAAAAAAACAATTACTTATACGGTTTCTTTCAAAGACTTCCTGCTGAGTAAAAGTCTGAGATTAATATTAATAATTTAACATTGCAACAGAATTCGTGCATCTTTTTAGATCCATTCATAAAAGGAAAGTAATATTAACGTGAGACGATAAAACATGAAAAGAGCGATGCCTCTGAAGCCCACAGATGGAGCACTTAATGCAATTTCTGCAGCTTACAGTTTGTCCTGACCTCATCTGTCGTGTCAGATCAGAAAAATAAAATAATGCGCCATTTAAAAAAAAAAGAAAAAGTAGACATATTTTTCAGGAGAGACATATTGAGGATATAGACACACACACACACACACGCTCACTTGCTCTCCCTCTCTCATGTCATGTTTATTGATTTAATCCATTTATCTCACATGACATCATTGGATTTTTTATATATTTACTTGCCACATGTTGGTTTCAGACATACTTTTTGTCCTCATTTACCATCTGTGTGTATGTCTTTAATTTTTTGGGTCAAAGAGTATAAATGTTAATTCTTTTATCTGTGTGCCTGGGTAAGATTTATCATTAAAACTGGGTTAGGATTAATACATCAGTGGTGGTTGAGTCACTTGTCTTTTGATTGAAAATGACAGTAAAGGGATTTTTTTTGCATTTGTTTTTTTGTTGCAATATATCACAAAAACCTCTCCACCGATTTCCATGAAATTTTGTGGAGAGGTGGAGTATAACCCATGGAAGAACCCACTCAACTTGGTGCGGTCTGGATCCAAGATTTGTTTTCCACTTTCTTTAGCATTGTGAGATATGACATTTTTCACCATTGTCCTTTGTTTCTCAGAGATTAATTAATGGATATTAATGAAAAAAATGTTTAAAGCAATGATATTAGTCAGTCTATGCAATTTGGTGCAGATCTGAATAAAAATCCAGATCTATTGATTTTAAATGTGGTTCATGAGGTGACTGTTGAGCCTGTGCTATTTGCTGCTGCATCAAAACAATGACAGGTCAAGATGATGTAACAATATACAAATAAAGACGTGGATTTCAGCTTTGTTACGATGTGAACGAAAGGGAAAACCCCAGATTGAATCAAAGATCACAAAGCTGCGCTCCTCTTTAGTCCTGAGACCTTTTAAGGAGATGATGATTTTTTTTTTCAGCCGTCTGAAAAGTTATTCTGCTGAGTGCCTCAGAAAAATAAATCAAAACAAATAATACTATCAGCACTCCTTCACTTACATTCAGACAAACCCAGATCTTACCTCCAAAATAAGAGCCATCAGACAGCTTGGTGTCATTGCTGTTCTTGGTCAGGACACTCACGACACCGTGCTGTATGAAGTACATCTTCTTGCCAATGGTTCCCTCTCTGATGATGAAGTCGCCCGGCTGGAAGACCTCGAAGCGCAGTTTGGTCAGCATGGAGGTCACAAAGTTTGGATCGGCGTTGGCGAACAGAGGCATGGAGGCCACAAGTTTACGACAGTTAAAGTTGATGATTTCCTGCAGAAAACACAAAAACAATGTTTTAGACTTTAGGAAAGGCAAAAGACAGTAACAACGGACAAAGACTGTCAGGGAGCACACTGACATAATCTGATTAATCATGATCACAGATACAACTTTAACTTTAAAGGAGGTGAAAATAAATTCTGGATCCACTCATTTATCCACATATACTCCAAAATGTCACAGTTTCATGGAAATCAGTTCAGGAATTTTAGTGCATCACTCTGAGACGTTACATTGACTGATTTCTGGATCAGCTGGACGGACACTTCAACTTTAATCAGCTCAAATCATTTCATAATAAAGGTCCAAAGTTTCAGGTGATGAAAACTGAGAAAAGAGGAGGAGGAAGATGAAGGTCAGTATAGACGTACATTATCTTATGCAAACTCTGCAATACTGTTTTGTTTATAAATGACTCATCTGTAGTAGGTAGCTCGGTAAGAAGAAATGAACTCTTCATACTGTAATAATACCATTTCATAACGGCATCATCTATACGTTATATGATGACGAAGGATTGGTTCATCTGAATTGTAGATGTCTCATGCATAGATTCATCCTTAAAATAATGATCATTTTAATGGATGTTTATGCTTGTTTTTTATCTGCATCAGCTTGAGGTCCTAGAGGAAGCACAGATGCATGATGTCATTTTCTGACTGTGGCATCCACATGACAGTATTTATCACATGACATCATATGATGAATGTCTGATTAACAGAAGCTTTAGATTGTCTCTAACTGTATTTTTTGCATAGATATTTTCGAAAATGAGTTTGAGTCGTATTTTTATTGACCTTGACATTGACCTTAAATGGATCAACACCAAAAGTTAATATTTCTATTAAGTTTGGGGAAAATGGGTCCATGCATTGTTGAGTTGACGATATATTATGACACATGACATCATTAGATGTAGAATGAATCCTGAAGCATCAGCAGCATGCTACTGTTGCAGCTGCAGGAGGAGAAACTAGTTTGAACCATTTCATATACAGCTTCACAAACAGAGACACCAGATAAACCTGAGAGGTCGTCAGATGATTAATGGGAGAGAAAAGAAGAAAATACACACAAATCCTAATCTTGCCTACGGCAGAGAAATGGCCAGAGCCGGCAGTGATGTGTGTATGTTTCAATCATAATAAAAGCAGGGTGGTTAACGGCTTAGTGCTCCGTTAATGAGGTTCTCTGTCCTCATACAATCTCCAGTCATTACTAATCAGATTACATGACTATTAACGTTATCGTGCAAAGATAAGAGAGGCACATTAGATTACATCAGTAACTAAGTGTAAACAATTTAGAGCAAAAATTATCACGTTGTTAATTCACATAAATAAATGTAAAAAATGTTTCAATGAGAGAAAATAACAACAATAACAACAACAACAATAATAATGATAATAATATCTTATTAATATTATTCAACCCATTTTTGGTAATGTTTCACTTTCAACACCACTGTTTAACATTTAGCAGAATATAAACATGTTTTTAATGTTTATATTCTTATAAGCAGATACAAGAGGATAATATTAATATAAATAAGTATTAATGCAGAGTATTAGTAGCAATTATGAACTCTTATGTACTTAAGCACTTATACTTTGCTCTAGATTCTGACACCAACAATATGGCCCAGCATCATCAGCAACATCGTTATAAGGACAAAGATCAGCGTGTGTGAACTCCGACCTGTCGCAGTGGCTCGTTCAGCTCCTCCAGAATGCTCTCCTCATCAAACATCTTGCCCTGATAACGGTGCTCGTAGTAGTCGTGGATCCTCTGACGCATGTCGGCCGGGAGCTTGTGAAAGGACATGTACTGCTCCACCTGTTTATACTGTAACAACAACACAGGCCCAATTATTAAATCACAGCAATAATAAACGTATTTAAGAGAAAACCCTCCACAGACATATGTGTACTAATGCAAGTCACGTCAAAATGAATGTATTAAAGTGATTGATGTGTTGGCTCAGAGGTGGACAATAATGTGTCTCATTATGTTAACAGTCAACTGTCAGGCCATCTGTGAAACCTGCCCACAGTGCAATGTTGTGCCTCTGCCCCATCTGACAAATACAGTTGTGCTCTGCAGGCTTCAGCTAATAACATTAACCACTGTGTCCTTCAGCCGTGTGCTCTGCCAGCACAGTACAAGTGATGCTGGGTGTTTATCTATGTATGCTCCATCCTGCTGTACCTCTCTATTTGGTTTTCAATTTCTGGATTTAGCTATCTCCAACGTCAGCCTCCATTTTCTGTGTTTAACCTGCACAACAGCAGCTGTAACATTAAACAGTGACTTTCTCTGCAACTCTGTGAAGCGTTTTCACACCTAAATGTAGTAAAGACGATTGGTTTCTGTGTATTAATGTCACATTTAAAAACACTTCACATCCTGGATAAAATGCTTTCTCAATTTTCAACATCACCACATCCATTGCATTTAAAATCTATCATTAACAAAATACTAATCCTAAATTAAAAGTAGCACCACAACGAAAAAATACTTTAAAACATACATGCTATTAATAAAAACACTTAACATAGTTAAGTTAAATAAATTACTATCAGCTAAATGTACTTAAAATTAGTGAAGGTAAAATCACTCTTCATATCTAAAAATGGCAGTTGTGAATGTTACACTAATTTATTATTATTATTTACAAGGATGTAATTATTATGCCTTGTTGAGGTAACTTTAAAATGATTATATGTCTTGAGTGTAAAACGTTAATATGAAAAGTAACTAGAGCCATTATATAACATTTTCTTCTGAAATGTAGTGGAATAGAAGAATAAAGTAGTATTTCATCACTGATTTCAACTATTTTGGACTTAAAGTTTTCTGTGACAAATATCAGTCATAGAGGGAAAGCCCCCCCCCCACCTTTTCTTGGTACTGCCTCCTGGAGGAGTCCAGAGACTGGATGAGTGCAGTCGCATGCCCCACAAACATAGCAAAGCAGGTAGCCCCCACGATCATACTGAGGATGGTGAGCCACACGTCAGCCATGCCGATAGGGGGGTAGAGGCCGTACCCGATGCACAACATGTGACTCATGGCCTTGAACAGGGCGTAGGAGTATTGCTGACCCCACGTGTCATTCTGCAACGTACGAGGAGAGAGAACGTTTTAAAGCATTTTCAGTTGAACATCAACAGGTGATGAGGACCTAATTTTAAAGGTTTGTTGGGTTTGAAGCAACTTACTGAGAAACTTGAATCACCTTAAATCATGAATGAGGACTTTTGCACTTGCATCACTGTCCTGGTCCTGGTTTTTAGTCAAATACCAGTGAACCTACTAATATATCCTGTGCTCAGATTGACAATTAATAAAATATTTATTAAGTGAATATGATAAAGGCAGAAACTAACTTTTTTCATTATTCATTAATCTGAGGACTTATTCATTGCAGCCTGAAAAATGTCCAAAAATATTTTCACACAGTCCAACTTGAATTGATAAAATAGCTTGTTTTATTTGTGCAACAGTCCAGATATTCAGTTTAGTATTGTATGTGTCAAAGACATTTTCTAATCCTGACATTTCAGAAGCTGAAACCTGGGAATGTTTCAGACTTTTTAAAAAATAAAAAACACAAACGATGAATCAGTTCTTAAAAGTGTTGCTGACTGATTCAGACTAATCGATTTATCGACTTATGGTTGAAATGATTACAATTATATACATATCATATATAACATGACTGAAGAAGCAACAATGAAACTTACAGTTTGAACGACTCTGCTTTATCAGGAATGATCAGCTTTGATTGACAAACAACCAATCGCTGTCAGATTTTGATTTAAATGTTGCTGAAATCTGATTGGTCCATGGAAGTATGCAACATCACCTTAATCAGATCCACCCACTTAAAACAAGTGATGAGGGCAAAGACAAAAAAATACAGAAAATGTTGCGAGAACTAAAACCAATGCTTTTGTGCTTGTTCGAGTGGGACCTCATCTCTCACAGTCAGACGGCTTCTGAAACCAAATAGGTGTTTAGCGCCTTTTAGAGAAACACATTTGGACGGTGTCTGTCTGACTCATAAATAATCTACTTACCACCATCTTGTTTCTGGTGACCCAGCAGTCAGGAGGGAAGTCCTGCAGCATGGGCACCAGGAACTGCAGACAGCCATCCCAGTGACACAGCAGCAGCATCATACCGATCAGGTTCATGATACGCACCATGGCGCTGGCCAGATCATAGGTCATGTGGAAAACCTGCGGCACAGATTATCAGCAATAATGCAACTGAAACAACAACACGCATTTCTTTGTAAATAAATCTATGAAACAATTCCAACTCTCTCATGCGAACAGAGGATTTGAAATAGACAGTAGGTGCTGTGTGGGCTGATGGTTACATGGGTCCTTTACCACACCACACTGTTCTTAATCTTCTATAGACCAGAGGCTGTTTCACTGTTGCATAACCATCTGCAAGCAACATTAACGCTCTATAGGGAATGCAGCCTTGGTTGGATTAATAAAAATAAGATAAAGCAGGAAAGTATAGTGTATGTCATTAAGCAGGTGGATTGTGTGAGATTGTGCATGAACCTCAGAGGAGATGCAACAAATTAACTCTATAGCTTTGAGAAATGAGACATGTATTTTCACAGGAAAGCAGCTTCATATTTTCCCTTGATGCGTGAAGTAAAAATTTAATAATCTAGAAAAGAGTAGGAGTTATGAGGAAAGTGCTGTTGTTAGAAATGCCACTCTGTTTAGCTCCAAGTGTTTGAGAGTGAGGCTGAAACTTATTATTATTTTTTTCTATAGTTATGAAATCTTTCATGAAATAAAATGCCTGTCATATGCTCCAAGAGGCCATTTGGGTGTAGTTAGATAACCGTCTTTAATAATACGAGCAATTTAAACCAAAAAGACTTAAGATTTGAGCATTTTAATAGATGCTATAATATATATATTTTTTAAATTGTAAAAATATTTGCTTCTAATTAATATCTGATGACCAATTCCTACAGCCCTATTTTCAGAGCATCCAAAAGATGCCAAAATACATAACCAGCTTATGCAATGTTTTCTATGAAGATCCAGGTTCATCCCTGCAGGATCTACCTCTTCCCACTGGTGGATGTAGCGAATGAGTCTGGAGAGGCGCAGCAGCCGCAGCAGACTGAGGATCTTGGTGAAGCGGACGATCCTCAGGGCCCGGGCCGTCTTGTAAAAGTCAGAGTCAATGCGTGTTTCTACGATGAGGAAGATATAGTCCACCGGTATGGAGGAGATGAAGTCCACCACGAACCAGCTCTTCAGGTACTTGATCTTGATCTTCTGTGGGTCCAGGATGATCTCCGTGTTGTCCTCCTTCACGATACCCGTGCGGAAGTTGAGGACCAGGTCCATGAGGAAGAAGGTGTCAGAAACCACGTTGAAGACGATCCAGGGAGGCGTGTGCTCGTCCTTGAAGAAGGTGATGCCCACGGGGATGATGATGAGGTTTCCCACCATCAGCAGCAGCATGGTCAGATCCCAGTAGAACCTGAAACCCACAGGGACACATATCACTCACATTTCTAAATAACAGCAGGACAAAGTCATTCAGGCCCAGGTACAGTCCCTGAGACAAATCATCATAAACTTCACTCTGACAATTGACAGAAAAACTGAGCTGAATATTTTATGTCAGCATGTATTAGTGACCTTCAGACATTTTTAGTTATTTTATTAGATATCTGAGTGTGGAGAGATAAACCGTCCCCATCACCAAAAGAGACAAACATTTTCTGGTTCAGCTTTTTAAAAAGGAGAAAGAAGCTTTATATTATGATATAAAAAAAAACACAACCATGAAGGGGGTATATATTTAAGTATCAGAAAATTGTAATGCATTCTGTAGTAAAACCATTTTCCCTTTTTCCAAAACAGTGGCTGAGAATAGAGTGCCATCCCCATGAAAATACATTTCAGTCAGGTTAATCTAGATTTTAATTCTGATGCTCACCAAATTGTTCAATGACATAAATATCCACTTCATACATGAGCCTGATTGTTTTTCAACAAAACTCATACAATACTCCTGAAGAAAATAATGAAAATGCAGAAGAAGCACCCTAACATTAAATGATAAAACATGTGTGGATCTGCTCCTTTATCCGGATCTAAAGCTACAATGGATTCTTCCTTAGCTCATGTTTTGGTTGTCTTTTTGTAATCTTGCTTACAAACAAACAAACAAATGTAAAACCCAGAACAAACAATCAGACAGGAGTGAAAACCTAGCCTTCCTGGCAGAGGTAATAACCCTGGTGAAAATGTTTATTGTCAGTAATTTGAAGTTTCAGTTCAGTTTACAAATAGTAAAACAAAAGACACAAGACTAGATCATTTAACTTAGTCTAAAATAAGTCATGTCGTCATAGTGTCAACAGTCTGTATGTGCTGCATGTTCCATGTAAAGTCACTTCAAATAAAAATGAATCCCTGAACAAGTTCAGTCTCATACTACAATTCAAAATCCAGGAGATTAATTTTCAAACGAGCAGAAACTGTGCAAACATTGTTCCAAACACTGAGTGTAAACATTAATAAAGCAAGAAAACCACAGTGGTGTGCTAATTCAGCTCAATACTGGGCTTGCGGCCACAGGAATAGAGAGGAAATGGATATTGGTATTCATTTGAATTGCTTACGAGGAAATATTGATTTTCATAACTAACTAAATCCTCAAGTGTCAGCGACAGTGTTTTCAATTTGATCTAGAATCACACAAAAAAGGAAGCTGATTTTAGTCACGCTCATAGTAACCAACAGCAATAAAGGTTTTCCTCAAATATTATTGATTTATTTCAGAATCAAATTATGCCACATACCACATAAACGTTCATTTAATCTGACACCATATTGCAAATTATATGTCTTATTCATTGATTTAGCTTCGAGCTCATTTCAGTAACTGAATCAGGAATATTTGATGTTTTACACTTTACAGCATCAGAGGAAACATACAGCTCAGTAAAGCACAGCTCAGCCTAACAAATGCCAGCTAAGATATGGAGAGTTTTTGTTTACCAGTTACCATCTTGAGTGTGTATGTGTGCATGAGCTGAGAAAGCATGCATGCGTGTGATTGCATGACAGATCTATTTCAGAAACCTAATTAAACACAAATCAATCCAACCAGGAGCCTGACAAACCTACAGGGCCTGCACAAACTGTTGGAGGGGGGGCTGCACCACTTGATGATTCCCGCAGCTTGTGAGACAGCATACAGGGACCACCCTGTGTGATCTGAACACTTATTACCTTCAAGAGAAGAAACATTACTCTCACTTTTTCTGGTCTCAAACGAGGGTCCAGGAAAGAGGCAACCAACAACCCTAAATCAATTCCAACATGGTTCTACCTGTCCCAGTTACTTGAACCAGACCTTAACAGGAGAACATCACAAAACGAGAGAAGCAGCGAGGGCAGGGTGGCCATTTGTTCTAATCAGTTTTCTGTTGTTCTCTGCCAAACAAAGCATTTGCATTTGTCTCTTCATCTGCCTGTTGTCTCTACACTGACACACTGGTCCTAATTGCACTTCCCCTCTCGGGCTAAATCCACCGTTATCTCCTGGGAATCCATGTCATCTCCAGAAGTCAGCTCCCATCAGCCAGATGTTGAGTAGTTAGCATTACTGCTCTGCACACGTCACTGCGCTGCTGCAGAACCCTGGAACAGCTGGACCAAAAAAAAAAGGTCTGTAGGGAACAGTGCATTACTGCTGTCCCCCCTGCAGACCATCCTGTTTGCTCATCAGCTGACTGTGCACGCAGCATTCCGCCCACAGAGGACAGACAATTTGCTGGTGTAATCTGGTGTTACCATAAAAAAGCTGACAGTTGTGGGGACTCTGGACCTCTACTGGGTCCAGAGTGGAATCTTGCACTATTTGGGTCAGAGTGCAACTACGTTAAAGAGCATGAGAGCACAAAGAGTCGGGCGTTACAAGCAAAGTGAACACAAAAAGGCTTAAAATGGTGAAAGAAGCTTAGATCAATCAGGACAGCTGAAAAGGGATCACATTTGTACTAGAGATACTTATCTCTTGCTGCCAGAGTTCAGCTGAAGCACAACAGCCTGTATGCGGCTCAGTGGCTTAACACACACCTGTATTGTGGCTCAGTCCCACCAGCAATCATATTAACCATATTTACGCAGCGTGCCAGTTCAGTATGTCTGCTGCTGTAGCCACAGAAAAAACAGCAGTTACTTATGACATAAACAACTGGGAGACAGAGCTTGTAAAAAGATCCAAGGAGACGCACAAGTTACACAATACTGAGCTGATGAACAGTGGTCAGCCCCCAACTGCTCCAGATACCATGACTGTGTGCAGTCCTGGATGAGCCGTGTCTCATAACCCCAAAATAATCCCAAATAATCTTTAATGTTGCAAAGGTTTACACCTGCAGCTTAAAATGGGATCTGCAGATGAAAAGGTTCACCTTAAGAGGCCCACACCAGGTGCCGCAACCCCTGCTCCTGCTCAAAGTGTGACCCGAACCGAGCACGGAGTGATGAGACCTCATACCTCACACACAGAGTTAACAGCTGGGCGTCCTGATTCCTCTAAAACATCATTTTCATTTCAATCCCGTTCTGTCTTTCTGTGTGTGTATGTGTGTGCAGTGTTTGGCGGTGTGTCCCCTCCCTGTCCACACCATCTCTGCTCCATTAGACTAATTGTGCTGTAATAATCTCCACTGATGTGTGCTTCTAATATCTTGAATGGTCATGTTACCCTATTTTGATTACCCCATTTCCAAGCCCCTGCTGCACTCTCTGTAATCCATTGCCCTTGCTAAATGATAAAAAAAAAGTGTAATTCAGATGAGTGGAAAAAAACTGCAGTGACACACATCGGCGTACAACTGGCCGGTGAAAATATGATGACAGCGAGCCTCAAGGTTAAATGTCACGAAAATCCCTTGATGGCAGTGATGATCAGAATGCTGTTTGTGTGCAACATGCAATGAAATGTAGATCAGGCGTGCATGCATGCATAACACAGTGTGGATGGCAAATCATGGAATTGCAGGTTGAGGTAGTTTGGTGCACAACTTTAATTGACTCCAAGAATGAGATAATTGCTGGGTAGGATATAAAGCCATTCTTGTGTTGAAAGAACCAACCACACTCATTTCTCTGGACCAAACATAAGAGCAATTTCCTATCAATATCCTGCATGTGTTTGGTATATGTCATTGTGCTCATAACAGGATTTAGCATGCAAGTTCTTTAACTTCCCTGTGAGAGTGGCCAGAGCAGTGTAAGTGCAGTCAAGGCTTTAGAAAAGGATCAATATCATAAAGCCATTTATATGTTCAAGGTGCAGATCACTGAGGCACATTCATCTTCTGATACACCTATTCTGCACACTCCTGATTATGTTGTCATCATAATATCATCACTGTGATCCAATTGGAAAAACACACTTCTGGTGAACAGATGTTATGGCTGTATTATGTCTCAATTACAATTAGCGTGTCTCTGTTCAGTGGTGTATAAGTTAAAGTGACCTTATCACATTTGGTGACAATTTATGTCTCATTAAAAAGAAGCTATACGCAGAGTTTGTCTGTGTTTTTCCTGATGAGCCCAATGTGACAGGATCACTGCAGCATTATTTACATGTTGGAATAAAACAAAGTTTGTTTTGCAGATGAATTACCTAAAATCACTGTACGGGTGGATTATCCAAAAGCCAGCAGACTTTACTCGCTCCCTCTCGTGCTCCACGGCCCTCTCACTCCCCAACATCCGCAGGGAGAACTTGTTGACACCCGGCTGGAGCATCGCCCCAAACTGCCGGTGCATGAAGCCGGCTTGGTACAGCCGGTCATCTTCGGGGATGATTTGCTCGGCGCCTTCCAACTTGATGAAAGTTGACTGGTCGAACTCAGACCCTTGCTCTTCTGCGCCACTCGGACCACCCGCTGCCCGCTGCTGGGCCCCGGGGCCGCGCTCACCGGGGAAACTCTCACCTACCCAGGCGTCAGCCTCGGGGATGAGGCGCCGCTGCTCCGCCGGGTCTGACCCTGGAGGATGGCGCCCGGTGATGGAGGAGATGCTGCCCCTGAACAGGCGACAGTCCCCGTTCAAGTTGGTCTTCACGATCACGTCCCTCTCCAAGTCCTCGCTCCTGGCCTCCTCAAAGCTCCTGCAGCTGCTGGCAGGAGACGGAGAGGACAAATGTTTTAGCCGGATACTTTTCCTCTTGGTGTCCTTGTCGCCGCTGTCTCCTTCGTCAATCACGAAGGGTTTTTGCCCAATGTTTTGCGGCAAGCTGTAGAGCCGTTTGCGCATGGACGACTGGAACCTTTCCATTGTGGGGAAGGAGATGCGCTCTAAGGGAAAACAGGGGGATAAATCATGGATCTCGCAGACTTGGGGAGCCGCTGGAGGCAGAAACAGTGACGGCGCATCCGCAGGACAGGTCGTATCTTATTTGGCACTCGGGACGTGCCTCTCTCCCCCCGGTTCAAACATTGAGGATGCGTCGACAATACGTGGCCGCTTCAACCCGTCGGTCATGTACGGACGGTGAAATGCGTGTAAATCCAGGTAACCCCACAGCGTGCAGACGAGAGCGCATCAGGATGCAGCATGCTGCTGAGCGTCGGACGTGCCGGAGTGGGAGAACAATGCTGCTGCTGCGGCTGCTGCTGCTGCTGCTGCTGAGCTTTTCAATGACAAAGCATGATCCCCACCTCCCCCCAAAAAACAACCACCACAGCTCTGTGTCAGTGCAAGGTGATGAAACACATGCACGCAGCCCGGCCACGGCATTCAAAGAGGGCGCTGACATCACTGATCCATCAGCCTCCCGCCTCCCAATATCGTGAATATCGATGGGAGCCAATCTATCGGGTTGCCATAGGAGCCAGGATGGCACATGCATGCGCTCACCCCGCCCAGTCAGGAGAACTGGAGGGGGGTGACTCAAGGTTTGGTCTTGGTGCATCGTGTTGGTTGACTTGTTTGATGAGGAAAAGATGCTGAAGTTCTGTTGGAGTGTGCAAACTCTGGGGAATGTGATTTTAGATGTATCTATAGGCACTCATACAGATTACAGATGTTGGTGTTCCTACACATCATATCCTATCAAGGCAACAGCTGCAATTAGTGTGATCTCTGAATTTAAGCTGCTGAAGTTTTACGTCCATCCTTCCTCAAACTGTTGTGGAACTGAGGACAGTTTGATCACTTAAAACAAAGCAACAGTTAGAAAGTTTACAGCAGGTAGGCAACACTGCAAAAAAGAAAAAGTAGGGAAACTCACTCGGTTTTTGAAATTTGACGTGAGCTCAAATGTCTTTTTTACTATTTTTTATTCATTTCTTTTCATTTCTTTATTTTATGGCTTAAGGAGAACAACAGAACGTATGAAAACAAAATAGCACATGGTGAGGTTGAACAAATGTTACTTAAACAAAGAAAGGGCGTTCTTCAAGAGAGTGTACCCAGTGTACACATACCTTTTGCCTTCTCTGATAGTAATAAAATAATTGGTTTGAACATAGGCAAGCAGTTTTAATAATACTTTGCCAGATACTTTTCTCTATCATTCATAATGCTTCAACTTTTACATTCAAACAAAGGTTACAGATCCTCTGATTTCTATCATCAATGACCTTGAGGGTATTCACTCTAAAATTACAGAAATCCTTTTGGTTTCACACAACAAATACTTTTTCAGCTTGATCTGTAGTTTGAATCCTACACAGACATCACATGATGACGACTTCTGAGCTCACACTGCCACTTTTGAATGAACTGATCTTTCAGGCTCTGTTCAATCGTTAGTTTCAATCAGTTGCTACATCTTTAGAAAGTTGTGCGGATTAATGATCTTTTGTTCAGATGGTTTTTCTTTATTATTTAAGGTGTGATATTGAGCTGAACATACTTTAAACATTGGTCCCATTGCTTGTTTTCCCATAGTTTCTCCCAGATAGTTAACAGGAGCTCTTTGAAGGTAGAACAGAATTCTTTGGAAAAGGATTCCCTACATTTAACATTGATAACATTGTTTCCATACAAATCTTCTCATACGGTCAAAACCTTTTAAGCAAATTACACTCACCTGTGATGTCATACTTAAGTAGAACAGTAAAGATGGATTGATCTGAATGTGAAAACCCCTGCAGAAATGCTATGTAGACCCTGTTTTTTGCAAAAAAATCCTAAAATACTGCGGACCCCAGACTCTGGCCCAAACTTAAAAGTTTGTGGTATGCCATCATGAATTAGGTATTAAGGCAAACTTAACACATGGAAACTTAACAAAGTTACTTGAAGGAAATATTTTGTTAAGTTTATGATGATAATTAATGTTAAGTTTATTCAAAAGTCACATTAGCTGAGCAATTTCAAGCATTAGTTTTTTTTGAGTGGCACTATATATATTGCATTAAAGATATGGGTTTTATAGGGAAAAATAAATGTGACCAAATTCTAACCAATGACATCATAAACATAATCATTACAGGTCAACGTGCTGCAGCAGTTCACTTGACTCACTGTTGAATATCTTTTAAAAGAACAGATTGTTGATTTTTAGAAGTCATACCTAATCTATCATCCATTGAAAACAACATACGACACAGTTGGAAATATCTAAAATATACAAAACAATTCATCATTTCAAACTTCACACCCTGGCATTTTATCAGCGCTTGGATCTAAAGTTTAAACAGGGAAGAGAAGTCACACGCTCAATTATTTCCTTGTTTAATGTAGATGATTTTACTTACTGTGTGATTTCAAACTAAATTTTACAGTGAGCTGCAGCCTGAGCATCCATCTGTTCAAACCCTGTGTGTCCTCACAGTTTAATTTTTATACCCTGAAGATGACATTTCCAGTCTAATAGACAAGCAATGAAATACTTTCCTGGCACAGACCAACATGGGGGAATGAATTTGACGTAAGCTCGTTGACAGCTGGATGCCTTATACGTTTGTGTGACTCAATGTGAGCTTTGCTGAACTGATTTAAAGCATAAAGCAATTTTATATGGAGTAATGCCACATGACAGGAAGAAGTGAGCCATGTATTGTTGCCAAAATATTTCCTTATGACACAATGATATATGCTGCTATATATCAGAGATCAAGATTACCCACAATACTGCATTCTGCATAGACTGTATATACAGCATATGTAATCTATGACTGCCACTGAGCAACAGAACCTTTCAGCTTAATTTATGTCATTTATATTATATCCATCAATCATTAAAAACATGTAATTATCTGTGTGCTGGTTATATCTTTACTGCTGCTTGTTATTTATAGAGTTTCCCATCAGTAACTAGTCATGCGTACTGTCCTGGCGTCAGCACTTGATGTTTGGAGTCTCCTTATCATGAACACACTCTGTGCCTTAGTACTCTCAGTCACCACTCTCCATTATGTTTGCAGGCAGAACAACCTTGTATGTTTGTGTCCACTGTAACTTTGATGGAACCTTTGGCTTGAATTTTACGAAGGGAAAAGGCTGCTGTTAACCAATGTTATCAGTTCAGTGTGTAACAGTTGGTGGTTTCGAGCGGTGAAGTTGCATATTGCAGCCAACTGAAAGCCCCTCACCTCATCCCTCCCTTCCAAGCATAGGAGAAACTAAGGAGGCCTTCAGAAAAAACACAATTTAAAAGGTCATCTATAGAGCCAGTGTTTGGTTTGTCCATTCTGAGCTACTGTAGAAACATGATGGGATGAGCAGCTTCTCCTGATGTAGATATACAGGGGAAACATTCTAAAGTAATGAAAACATGATTCTTAGTTTCTGGTGATTATGAACATGATTGTTGTTTTTCATCTCTGCCCACAGATCGACAAAATCCTACACACTTAAGCTTCAAAGATTTTCCTATGTTTACCCAAGACTTTTATTTTCTCAAGGTGGAGATACCAAACACCTTCATTTATCATTTTCAAAATGTTCTGTCCTAAGAGAAACAATGCGGGAGTCTCTGAGCTAGCAAGCTACACGCTGAAACTGACAAGTTTTGATGAAAATTTGTATCATGCAATGGCACAGTGATACATATTTTACTATATACTATATTTTTTGTGGTGTTTGGTTTGTGGACAATTAGGAATTCTAATGACAGTGCTCGCCCCCCAAATGAAAATGTTCCACCGAAACAAGTTCCCCACAAATCCAATTTTTCAGTGGGACTGTCATTGTGTCTTGGGCTTTGTGCCGCCCAAGATGATTTAGATTGTATTAAAAAAAAATACAAACAAGTGAGCGCATTTGTTTATGCTATGGCAGAATTGATAATAGTACCGACATAGCACTGTGGAGATAGGTCTGGTTATGCATTTGTTGCTTATGCCATCCTGTTGATTTGCTTATCAAAAATACCTTGTGAAGGTGTAAAATAACAAGGTGCTTATTGGGCATGTGACTATTTTCACTCACCTGCCAATCAAATCCGGTACCCAGAAACAAATTTAATTTAGTTAATTTACTCAGAGCTTAAGTAACTAAAATACTGTACCCACTTTGAATATTAATTTTATAAGGACCAGATTCCTTTTTGCATTTTTGTAATAATTTATTGTGTCAAGCCTCATCTCTATTCAGCTAAATAATCAGACATTGCTCTTTATGAGTATCACTCATATAAATCAAGTGACAGCTGGCAGGAGGTTACCCCATCACACACCCTCATTATAGTTTACATAGATTTATTTTTGAGAGAAAAACAAAGCAGCCATCGAGTATTTCTATACACACATCCTCAAATTAATGTAAATAAAGCAATCTCGTTTGGTAATTGTTTCTACTGATCACATGATTATTAGTTTTTAAAGTGATAATTTCATTTTATTATTTAAAATATTTTTTTTTCCATTTGTAACAGTTTATCAGGACTGATTTCTCCTTGTTAAAATAAGAGACCAGCTTCATATGTTGGAACAAAGTCAATTCACTCTGAAAATAAAAGTCTCTGCTGTGAGTCACTCACATCCCACATCCACTAGATGGTGTTGTTCACCACATGCTTTCATTTCTTTCCGCATTCCCATAGAAAACCCTGTGCCATCCTTATTGGAGTATTGCAGCACCTCATCTGTTTGACAAAATAAACAAACTCAAACCACACATTTTCATTTTCCAGATGTTTATTCTTAAAAATGACTCAGGATCTTGGAATTGCATCATATGTCGGTCCTGACGTGGGCCTTCCTCTCGCCACCTCCCACGTCAGCTGTGGATAATTCATGCAGCTGTGTAGTATGCCATCAACGCTCTACAGTGATCCTACTAGTTTAAAGCTTTGTCACAGAGAAATCAAAAGCTGCAATGATTTTCAATATATTGATATGGATAATAATTGCATAGGATAATAGCCATGCTGTACAATACACAT